GTGAATTTATCGAAAATTATTTTACTAAGCTTTTTAATAATGTGCATCAAATCATCAGACTGTTTAATCACTTGTTTTATATGCATGGCTACTCACAAACAAACAATAAGAAAAAATCACTTACCTTATTCAACTATCTTAAAGGATGCAAGGAGTCTGCTTTTTCCAATATCAACTTCCCCTTCGTATATCAGCGAATAGTTTCCGCTGTTGAGGTCCGTTATTGCTGCTTGGTAGGCTTTGGTTACCCGCTGTGGTAAGAAGACAACTTCAGCACCCAAATCCAGCAGAACTGTCTCCCCAAATTGTGTTGTTACCACCTTTGCACTGTGGATGGTAAATTTTTTTCCAATTTGTAGATCTTTAAGTTTTTTTATTGGCTTACGTTCTGCAACCAAGGATGCATTATTTAGTTTTGATAGATCCATCTACAATAATAACAAAAAACTATAGTTTTTTCCGCTTAACGTGAATGGAGAGATGCATTACATACTTGGCAATAGAGAAGAACCATATACTACAAGAAATCGAAATACGAACAGCGGAGAATACTTCTTATAAAAAATAGCAGACGTGGAATGTTTTACAACACCCACATCGATAAAAAGGACACAATAAATACATAGAAATATACATTTTTCATAAAATACTGCATGAAATACGAACAGAGAGATGTACAATTCTCATAAAATACAATGATAAAAAGGACATAATAAATACATAGAAATATACATTTTTCATAAAATACTGCATGAAATACGAACAGAGAGATGTACAATTCTCATAAAATACAATGATAAAAAGGACATAATAAATACATAAAAAGAAACAACCGCTTACCTTTATCAGATATATGTAAGTCACTGCACACCGTATTGACTACTGCGAACTTGTTGTTGTTGTAGTACGTTTGCGAAGCGAACTGTGACAACGTATGCGCTCCTCGGCCTTTTAAAGAACAGAACAGCATATCGCCCCACCCGAGCCCGAGTTGCGTCAACCTAATGTGCCTACGGTACCATCGACTGATTCGTTTCATAGATAAGCAACACCTTGAGTTCTAGAAATGCTAATATTTTTATATTTATTTTTATTTCTTCAACTAATATTTATGGTAATATAATAAATAGATATTGCGGTAAGAGAATCGTTGTTATCAATTTAGAATTTTGTTGATGTGGTTGCTGATATCTTCATACATTTTACAAAATGTAGCAACTGCGGTTTTCTTTCCGGTGTACTTGTTTTTCCAATGATTAAAATAAAATTTGTTATCACACTTGTTTACGTGTTTTGAACAACGCGGTGTATTGTTATCATGAGGCTTCATCCGGTTTGCTAACAAATGCACTATTTTAACATATTATTATTTAAAATATTTCTGTCTTAATATTTCAGTATATAATTCTGTTTTTGTGAATTTTGTATAAATAACTATAGTACCAATTTTTTGGAAATTAGTATAAATCAAGGTGCTGGTCTGTTTACATGCCTTATTGTTGCTCTCTGTATCTGTGAGTGCAGAGAATAGCACACTGGCGTATGCTAGTTCTTTTCTTAAACGTTTGGGATACCTCTTCAGAAGTGTCTTACATTTATTCCTCTGGTTAGCAGACACAATGCCTTATGAGACATTACGTGAAACTATAAAACCTTGCGGTTGTATAGAACTATTCGAAATGAACGATTGGAATGATACTAGGACTAGGTACATATTATGTGAAACATGTACAGAACAATTGACAAACCTGCGAATTGAAGATCAAAGGAGATTGGAAGCAGAACGAATACTTAGAGAAGAACAACTTTTACACATAAAAACGCAAATAGAGGCATTAACAGACGACGTTCAAATTAAATTACATCACATAATTAAAACTACTGATCGACGAAATACCCTTATACGATATTTGAATAGAGGTTACCTGAATAAAACGCTACTTGAACTACTAGGTTTTGTGAAAAAGGGACGATTTTGGCTGGCATATCCTAATCGCTTACTAAAGATGGAGGAAGATTATAAAGAAGTGCTTTTGGAACTAATGTAAATAAACAATACTTCTACATGTCTATGTCTTTTTTTAATATTCAAGTTTCAGTGTTGTATATAACTTGTATCTATATGTAACTCAATAATAATAGATATTTTAATGAAAGATATGTTTATTTCTCCTACGCATTCCTACTGAATATGTCCTATGTTGAATGTCACGTTTTATGTCAAGCGATGTCTTGACTGACACATAACTGTTACGTCAAAACGTCTCACGTCACGTAATTCCTACATTTCACGTTCTGCGTCAAATGTCACATATATGTCACGTCCTGCGTCGAATGTCACGTTATTCACGCAACATTTTCACGTTCTGCGTCGAATGTCATGTCATTTCACGTTCTGCGTCAAATGTCACATAAATGTCACGTCCTGCGTCAAATGTCTCGTCCTGCGTCGAATGTCACGTCATTTCACGCGACATTTCACGTTCTGTGTCGAATGTCACGTCCCGCGTTGAATGTCACGTGGCATTTTACGTTCTGTGTTGAATGTCACGTCCTGCGTCGAATGTCACTTGACATTTCACGTTCTGTGACAAATGTCACATACATGTCACGTCCTACGTCGAATGTCACGTTATTCACGCAACATTTTCACGTTCTGCGTCGAATGTCACGTCATTTCACGTTCTGCGTCAAATGTCACATAAATGTCACGTCCTGCGTTAAATATCACGTCAATTCACGATCTGCGTCAAATGTCACGTCGATTCACGTGACATTGTACGGTCTATGTCAAATGTCACATAAATGTCACTGTTATGACGCTCTGTTACCCTCTGCTGTCCTCTGTTAGTGTGTCTTTGTCTTTTAAAATGTCGAATGTCACGTCCTGCGTTGAATGTCACGTGACATCCAACGCTTTGACACCTCATACGTCAAAATCCGACCAATAGCAACGAAGATACGTTTTAACGCCCATTTGGCAACGCCGCCATCTTTGTTTTTTGTCTCCCTGCCTTCTCCCCGTTCCAACGAGCCCTCGTACGTCACGATCGGACCAATAGAAACGAAGATACCCCATAATGACCTTTTGGCATGCTCCGATGCGCACGGCACATACTGCATTCAACCCTATTTTTCATCCCCTTTCCAACGAGCCCTCGTACGTCATCCTACGTTAAGCCGTTTGGAACTTACGACCGGGGGTTGCGATTTTAGGGGTTGCAATTTAGGGGTTGGTCTCAGATCTGTGTAGTCTATCTACTGAAGTTACAATTGAAAATCGGGACGACCTTTTTCATGAGGATCTTGCGGAAAATTTAGATGTTATGGGTGTTGTCAACAAGAAAAACACACCTTCAAGGCAAAAAAATGTTGGCCGACAAATAGTGAAAAAAGAAAAATCTTTAAAAAATGTTATAGAAAATTAAAAAAGGCAGAATTAAAAATTAGAGACCTAACCAAACAGTTAGCAAGAGATCGAAAAAGTTACAAAGAGAAAAATCTAAATTTAAACAATTTTTAAAACAAAAAAAAAAAAGAAAAAGAATCTCCTGAAACAAGGGCGAGTAAATTGATAGCTGATATCGAAGTTCCAGATAAAATCAAAAGAAAGTTAGTTTTTGGGGAAGTTATTAAAGATCAATTAGAAGAAAACGCCAAAATGCTAAAAAATCATAAAGCTAAGAATACGTTATCGATTGTGTCTAGAAGCATAATAAATAAATATCGTTTAAGGGCGAGACTTCAAAAATACTTTCGTACAAAATGCATCGCAAATTCATTAATAATTCCCAATACGAAAGAAAAAAAACGTAACCATGCAGTTATCCAAAAGACAAAAGGTCTTTGCTACGATTGTACTTTTAGTTTAAACATCCAAAATGAAGGAAGCAAATGTTTCGACTGTAGCAGAACTTATCACCTTAAATGCGTTGTTAAACATCACTTTAACAAAAATAGTGAAATATTTCTTTGCCTTACATGTTTTAGAAAATAAAACTAACACACAATAGTTATCTAATTCCCCATTTACGTTTGCGTTCCTTGTTTTGTTGTTCTTTTTTCATTTTTATGGCAATAAATACATAGTTATAAATATGCGTTTTCTTTAAAATAGTATAAAAGTTATCATTTCGGAAACGTTGAGTCATTTCGGTAACGCCTGCAAAATAATTTTTTTAACATAATTTTTTTAACTAAAACCAGAAAAAACATTATAGTTGTTAATTATAAATAAACTATAAGCTAACAAGTTGAAAAAACACTACCATTAATTTCATTAGAGCAATTTAGAATAAAATAAAGTCAAATATATTGTACATTAAAAAAAAATAACTATTGCAACATAAGAAAAACAGTTTTAAACTTTAGCTACCACCTAAGATGACTTGTAGTAAAATACTATCATTTTAGGTTAGTTTCTAAAAAAATATAAAATTTAAAAATGTATTTAGTCCTATTTATAGGGTGTTACCAAAATGACTATTTTTTTGCTGTTTCACACCAAAAAGAACGATAAAAACATATCTATTAATAATTAAGCTCTGCTTTCATAAAATCATAAAACTTAGAGTATGTAAGAACTCAAAACAATAAAAAACATAACTTAATTACGAACTTTATTTTTTTAGTATTATAAAAGTCAAATTAACCATTTATATGAACAGTAACCATAAACGATCGAGTAGTTCGGTATGGGTATCGTATTATGGGTGTTGCCAAAATAAGTTTTGTCCAGGTGGATTCCAAGGTATTTAAATTTTTTACATGAACTACGAAATGAAACAAAATTTGATGTAGATATTGAGAACAAAGTAAATACTAGACCAAATACTTATTAAGGGAATGTATAGCATTATATATTATATAAATATTAAATATCAAACAATAAATCACTTGCTATCATTTCTACTCCCACAAAGACGGTTAAAAATTAATTTCCATTTAACAAATTATTGCATTTGATAATATCTAGCCAGTTTACGTTACGTATTACTTACTTGGCAATAGAGAAATAAAATCCCTCTGCAACATGGGCTTGAGATAGGAGTTTATGTGACCATGTTGATAGTGGCACATCCTGGCCAGCAGATTTTCGACAAATTCCACCTGGTCTGTTTCGCTCCATTTCTCAAAGTATTTCAGACATGCTTCTCTCTCCGTGTTGAATGTTGCCGAAGGTTCTTTCTTTCGAGCTGTATCATATGGCGGCAAAATTGTCATTTGATACTGAAACAAAAAAGCTAAGTTGAAAAAACAATTTAGGAATTACAGTAGACAGAGTTCTTAGTAATAAGTACGCTATGGTTTGCCATAAATAAAAGCCAAATAAAGGTGCGTGCACGTCACCAAGGTCGTAATTCTATTGCTACATTTTTGTGGCTACATATCTATAGAAAAGTGTATGTTACTTTAGTTTGCTAAACAATAACTTCTAAAAATAACCCGATAAAAAAAACTTTTGTAACAAAATGATGTATATACAATATAGCTTTTTTGGATTTAGACGACCCTCGTTGTAAAATTTTGTGTTGAACATCTTCATGTTCATGAAGAAACCACCAAGTAATGACGGACTATTAGTCACTACCAGAAATATTGTCATGTTGCGGCCTGCGGCGTCATTTGTTGAGTTTTCAATCAGTGTTCTGTGACTTTTGTACTCGTGGTATCATCAATTTTTGAGGTTATCTTGTGGCTTTATTAGTTAACTATTTTGAAGAAGAAAGGAATAATAATGGCCCTTTGTTACCCTTAAATGCTGTGCAAGAGGTAATATGCGAATAAACTAGCATTACTTTACTTTACAAAAATTTGTATTATTTTAACGTGTAACTGCTGCTTTAAAAATCAGTGTAAGAACGGTAAGCAGTCAAATGCAGAAAAAATGTGAACAGTTCGAGTCACCAAAACGAGTGAAAACAAAAGGCAAGGAATCTATTAACCCACCTATTGTTGGTAGATTTAGAGAAGGCATACGATAAGGTACCTTTGAAAAAACTGTTTCAAACATTGACGAAAGTAGGTCTTAGTAGAGAGTATGCGGATGCTATCGCAAATATACACAAAAATGCAAGAAATGTCGTTAACGAAGGAAATTTTATATCTGAATCATTTCCAGTAATAAAGGTGAACAATTTCCTTATTTAAAATATATATTCAATCATCGCTAGAGTAGTGGAGGAAACAAGTACCCGGAATGGGAATAGACATAGGCGATGGTAAATGTCTAACAACTTAATTTTTCGCAGATGATCAGGTAGTCGTAGCGAATGATGAGGAAGACATGGACTACATGTTTATAAAACTAAAGAAAAAATATGAAAAATGGGGCCTCAATATGAATATGTCAAAGACAGAGTATCTTAAAATAGGTACATATTTGGTAACATGGCGACATATGACTCCACGTGAAGTTGCTAGTCCTGAGACGGTGTGTCCGAGGACTTGTCGTTATAAACCCGTTAAATATTCTTTTTCATTTCCAGTATAAGAAATAATGTAAACTAAATTTAACTAAATAATTTTTAACGGGGTTTTACCCACATATTTAGTGGCTACATTCATGTACACCTAGACACTGATGATGGAATATGGATTCCGAAAACGTTTTGTCTAACATGGCCCATTTGGGTTTTTAAATATATACCTTTTACAACGGGTTTTAATAATTTTTTATTATATGGTATACAGCTAACTACAGAAACTTAGATTCCTTGTGAACTCCTCTTCAAATTCCATTTAATATAGTGTGAAATTTGCTACCGTCACCTTTTTTGTTTACTTCAGTTTTTCTCTGTTAATTTTCATACTTCAGTAACCCTCTGACAACGCTGCAAATGTTCACAATGATGACGTGAACGCAACTTTATTTGGATTTCATTGTATATCAAATGAAACAAAATAATGTATGTATAACAAACTCCTGGTAATGTTTTTATTTCTTCAACTACAGAGCCTTTTTAAGTAAGAATAAATTAAATGTATGAAATTTACAGTATAGCGTAATTATTAATTATTATAGGATATAAAAATGAAACTAGCTCGAAAAAGGTTTAGTAAACTGTCAATAAAGTGACATAACTAAATTGTCATATAATTCAATAGAATTCAAAATTAAAAATCAATTAAAACATATGCACATATATTACACATATCTTCTTAGTGTACAATTTTATAATTGACATATAAAATATTCTTAACTGCCACGGTAACGACCAACTTTATACAAAGAATTTAATAAATTCGACCTTTCGTAAGTCTTCTGGGAGTTCTCTTTTTGCTCGCGCATAAATTTCAATCGTATTGTATTTATTTATGTCCCACTAGCGATCTCTAACAAATACAGACCGTGAAGTACCTTGAAAACGATCTGTCAGGTATTCAATCAATTAACAGATGCACATAACAACACGGCATAAATTCAAGTTAAATCGGCCAATTATCACAAATCTGATCTACTAACCAGTCGTCGATTAGAGGACTGTGATTATTGCTGATTCCGGCACTAACAAATGAGTTTGTACAATATGATATAGGATTAACGGAATTTTGTACTTCCTTCATTACAATGTGAAGCTTGTTTTATATTTGAGAACACCTATTTTAATTACACATAATGGCGAAGTGTTTCGCTGCCCCTAATTGGGTTGAAAAATGTTATTCTGAACTGTCAGAAACACAAACTTAGAGCGAAAAAAGTTTTGATAATAAATGACAAAAATACAAAAGTAGTACAGAAAGGAGCAATGCGCTGGATCCGAATCTTCAACATGATCCCAATTTTTGGGCAGGAATTTTTTATTAATAATAATTATTTAAATGCTTATAAGTATAAACGAGTAAACTACTCTTTTTTCAAATCATGTTTTGTTAAAAAAAAAAAAAAAACCAAACAAAATTTGAAAAATTAAAATCGATCAATCAAAAGTCGAGATATTGCACATTTATTATTAAAAAATAACAAATTATCGACTATATCAGACTTTTTGCTTATAATTTAAAACTTCTGTGTGTATCGTAAATCTCAAATTGTTGAATAATAATTGTTTCTAGAGTAATAATTCACATATTATTTAATATTTCAAATGGTTTTTATACGTGAATTACCACATATTTAAAAATATTACAGCAAATGAAATATATTTAATATTTAAACGATTTATTTTTGACTTAAGCTAATCCGCACTGTCTGAATTATATTTATTGGACAGTTCAATGTAAACCTAAAAAAATTCTTGATTAATTTTGCTCAAGATATAACATTTTGTCATTCTTATGTGTTATTACAAATAAATTTAAATTATATGTCATTATGTCTTTCAGACCTTTCACAAGCAGCAATAGACGTTGATATTCAAAAAGATGAAGAATACTTTGTAAAAGTATTAAATCGTTTGTCTGTCTTCGTAAACCTTCCGACACAAGTATAACACCAATATTTCGTTGACATAAATCGAGAGTTTCATTGCGATAAAAGTCGTGTAGATACAGTGAATTTTTGAAATTAGTAAGTCGGTTGAAAAATGGATCTTAGCCGAGAATATTTTCGAGCAATAATGTTTTACAATTTTCGAAGGATTATCCCAACAGCAATGTCTCGCTGAAATGGTTTCTGTGTTTGGGAATGAAGCATCACACCAGTCAACTATTTCCCGCTGGTATTACGAATTTGCTGAGCCAACCGTGTAACATACCTAGAGATAGAAGCATCTTTGCGCATTTCAAAGACCTCGGTCCAAAGATCTCGGCTCTGCAAAGTGTTATTGCTGGCTCTGCAAAGTGGTATTGCTTGGTCCGTCGTTCGCCAGACGTAATTGGCTGAAGTGTTTTGCAAAACTTGAGTCTTCTAAATCTCTCGTAGGCGACCTTCAGTTATATTTGAGTTTAGGTGAACATCGTGTTTCACTTTACCACAAAAATCGTACAGACCTCCACGTTCGTAGAGCTGGGAATCCATATTCGTCGGATCAGAAATACGAGCACTTTTCAGAGCACGTACTCTGATTTGACGAATAGTGATTGCTGATTGTACAGGGTGTACCGGATTGGAATTGTACGCCATACTCAAGCTCTGGCCGGTCCCTGTGGGATTCTTGATTCCGTGCATCTGTGCAGTTACTATCCTTTCGGGTTTTCGAACTCCTATAATACTGTATACCCTTCCAGTTTCCTGCAAGCTTAGGTTTAGAATTACCGTAGATCCAAATATATCTAAGAAGTGAGTAAGTCATTGTTTCCTACTCATCCAGCTAATTCAACAACCATCGAACGAGATGGTCAACTGCGTCTGTGGTACTAACTTCTCCACGCAGGTCGGTCTGGATACTTACATACGGAGGCTACGCTGCCGAGGACCCAGACATAATGATGACAACGCCTGTGGCATTTGTGAGCATGCATTCAAGTTTTACTCGGGTGTAAGTCAACTCGAGGACCCGATACGAGGCTCCCATTCGTATGGGGCAGGATGAATTTCGGTATAAGGGCCGATTCATCCTTAAGTATTTGATGGAAATTTTTCCGCTTTCCGCCAAGCCCGAATACAAGGAATTCCTTGAAAGTCTCAAGGAGGAAGAGCGACGTAGGAATCGATCTCCGAGTCCCGTTGCTGACCTTTTAACTCACAGACTCTCGCGAACTATACCTCTTCGGAGGAAAAAACCTCGCCGGTGAGAACACCGGCTCAGAGTGAATCGGACACCCTCTCGTCCCCTGTGCTCAACAGCGCGGGTCATCACGGTGAACATACGTCCACTAATGTGCAGAACCCTGAGGCTGATGAGCCCATTCCAGTGAGAGACTGTGTGGCGATTGCCTCTTCTATCAACGATTATATCACAAGCAAGAACGGGTGGTCGGAAATGGAATTAGAACTTTTTAGATATACTCAACTCACGAATGCTAAGCGACATCGTAAGGGCGTCAAATAGTAGTGTTATATTTTAGTTTACTTTGACCAGTTTTGGAGTATAATTCTTTCATTGTGTCTTTCGTCATAATGTTGATATCTACAGTATCAAAAGAGTTTAAAACATATTGTTGAGGTTATGTGCTTACAGTATTGGTTTCACTAGACAGCTAAAGCCGGCATCTCACAGAACGTGTAGTGGCATTCTTTATTGGCGAAGAGAAATACAATGTAGAATACCGTTTTTCCTTTAATATTTGCGGTTTACGATCTCTGGTATAGGGCAAAACTACCTATTCATTGTCGACGCGTGTAGTCC